GGGTTTAAGTGGAGAGAAAATGTTTTGAGAATGATGAGGGCAATGAATGTACAAATGCGCTTTACACAATTGATGTGTGTATGGAATGTGATAAGAGTTGTATGAGCCCCTAATAAAATGATTTAAAAAAAAAGTGTTTCATGTGTATGAAAGTTAACCTCGGTGTGATCAGAGACAGCTTTACATCATCTGGGCTAATGGAAATGTATGGCCCAGGAAAGTAGGAAAGCATGGTGCATCCAAAACTCAAGGATAAATGACATTGCACTCCACGCCAGCGGGCCAAGTCTCTATTGTATGTAAGAGTTCACTGTGCGTAGACAGACCTGCAGGCATGGGGTAGAATTAGCAGAGTAAACTGCATGAGGGAGCCAGGAGAAAAATGTGGATGTAGTTAACAAGCTTGTCCAAAACACTGTAGGGAAAACACCAAGTGCTTGCTGGAACAGTTAACAGTAGTAACTGGTGGGGTCCCACTCAAGAGGCTTCCTAACAGAAGTGAGTTTTAAGACAGTGTTAGAGAAATACAGATAGCCACTTGTCTACACGCACACAGACAAATATGCATTGTTATAAAACCATTGTGGTGGGGGCGGGGGCTTCCTAACATGTCTGTATTTGAGAGCCATCACTAACTTGTTTCCAGTTTCATCCTCAGTGATGGACTGTGATAGGTACGCAATAAACGCTGGTGGTAAACTGGGTTACCTCAAGGTCAGCAGTTTGAAACCACCAGCCAGTCTGAAGGAGTACGATTAGGATCTTCACTCTTGTAAAGAATGAGCCTTAGCAACCCATGGAGGCAGTTCTGCCCAGTCCTGCAGGGCTGCTGAGGGCTGGGGTTGACCTGATGGCAGTGACTTGGTTTTGGTTCTCAGCATGGAATTGTTAGAGCTTCTAGGAGGGAGTGTGATGTCTAATTTCTGCTCCGACATCTTCTAACCATGTGACCTTGGGCAGGCTATCAATTCCTTTAATGGTAAGAATTAAGTGAGATAATCACGAGGAAGCGTACTCTTAAAATGTAAAGTCCCTTCCCTGCCTCAGCCCCCTTTCTATTTTTTTTTTTTTAATTATGAGGCTAGTATATTGGCACCTGATGGCAGTTAGAACATCATTAGCTTAGGGCCTTTGATCCAAAGACCCGAGTTCACAGTCAATAAAAGGAGACGATAATTTAGGAGGCCTCTTCGTTTCTCTCACTGCTTGTAGGCAGAACAGTCTGCACATTATACCATCATATGGGAGAACCCTTCTTGACATCTCTCCAAAGACAGGCTTTTCCCACTCTCTTAGATACGCAACCATCTCTACCCACACCTTCCTCTTGAAGTAGAAACCTGTTCCCCCTTGATGTGCACATACTGAGGCCTACTTAACTTCCTGACAACTGACTCATGCCTTTTTGCTGGTTGTTTTTCCTGAAATGTGGTGACCTCGTTGAAAATGCACGCACACACACACACACACACACACACACACACAGATTTCAAAGTATGTTAACCATTTCTATTGAGTTAGTGCTAAAATAATAGTAGTACCCATGAGCCCTTTTTGCTGGGAGCTGATGAAACTGCTGATGCCCTGCATCAGAATTAAGAGATCGCTCAGCACTTTGGGCAGGCAGGCTGCATGCCCTGCATGACCGCCACGGAGGAGACGCTTGCAAAATGCAAACGTGTAAAGGCACTGCAATGAGAAAGAGCCTGCGCGGTCCTTGGGTATGGAAAGGCAGATTCCACAGAGTTGTCAAGAGGTCTCAGTCAATGGTTTCCACACGTGAGCACATGCGGCCGGAGTGAAAGTGAACGGTGCTCACATTTGTGACTGTCACACCAGTTCCTGCCCCTTCCCTGCCCCACCAAGCAGAGCTCCCATCTGAGCTGTCAGTGATGCTCTCAACTGCCTGTCCGCAGCAGCTGAAAGCAAATATCATAGTCTGTTGCTTATCATCTTTTCAAATAGTGTGTTAACAATTCTGTTGCCCTTTTTGCCTGTTTGGTGAGGAGGTGGACTTTTATAAAAATGTATAGGAGTGAGTGAGTGAGGCATGATTCACCTGGATCCAAATATCAGGGGAAAGAGAGCTTCCAAGTTCATCTCTGAATTGTCCGCACCTCATCTAATGCTGGCCCCGCCCCCACTCTCCCTCTAGCTTTTAGCTCATGTCTTCTGAAGCTATCTGGAATACTTGCTTTTAAAAAAAATTATAATTCTCTTCAAGGGCTAGGTATAGTGATGTAATGGCAAGGTCAACCCAACCAATTAGAGAAGAGCTCCTGTCTTAAAACCTTAGGGATCACCTATATTTGGATCCAATCTGAAACATAGTTACCATAATGCAAAAAATACTATTTCAAAGAAAGTGAACTAAGATTTCCAAAGGACATGGTGTTCTCACTGCAATAGACATGGTTTATTCTTAATTGATTTCTGGTCTAAGAAAAAGGCTCTTACAGGCTGGAAGGTAACATAGCTTAAAGAAGTATTTACGATGTAGGATTTAATTTCCCTTCTGATATAAGAAAATGGCTTAGGCTTTTAGATCGGACTTCCTGATTGTCATGGTGGAACACCCCTGGACACCAGTGTTTTGTTTGGCTTCCTGACATGCTAGAGGAGATGGGGTTTGATTGACAAACGCTGGCTGGACTGAGAAAGCAAAGTCCGGGTTCCTCGGATGAAGGCGCAGAGTGGCTGAACTGGTGGAGGAGACTTAGCCTCGGACGCCCTCGTCATCCTGAAGCCACTCTGCTCAGCGGGGCCGACACTGCTTCTCTTTCTACAGTGCTGCCTGCCCATCCTTCAGGGAGACCCCTGAGAAGACCTGGAG